AAAAAGTGTGCTTCTTAGCTCAAGTAGATACATGAGACTAAATGGGCAGCTCCTGCCCAGGGGCGAGATGAGAAGGCAGACAGGGTCAGAAGCTGGCTGAACGGACATGAGAAATCCAGGGTGGAAGGGAAGAGTGTGCTGTCATGGTATGGGGAGAGCAACTGGGGTCACAACAATGTATGTATAAATTTTTGTATGGGAGACTAACTTGAACGGTAAACTTTCACTTAAAGCACAACAGTAAAAAACAAACAAAAGTTTCATGCACAAGCTAATACCTACTTTAAAACAGCTAAGATTTCTACATCACAAACCACAAAATGTCATTTACAAATAATAACCAGCTTTACTTGTCACTAATAGTTGCTCATTTGAAATCACTCCAACCTGTTCCTGAAGTGCAGTAACTGTAGCATCCAAATTCTTCTGTAAGGACAACACTTGCTCTTCATACTTCTTTGTGAGACCCGTAACTATGCTCTCATGCTGCTCTCTAGCTCGATGAAGTGACTCAGAATGATGAAGGTCCAGCAGTTGCTGCTTCAGGCTTTCCAGAGCCATCTCAGTTGTTCTGCACTTCTTGATCATCTAGTAAACACACACAGGACATCCATTTTACAGTACTTTGACTCTCTGCTCTATGGACTTTGACTCTGAAAACCAACCTGCTAAATGAAGGCAGAGAAGAAGAGGTCTCCCCATGATGGCTCTAGTTCCTTAAGACTTCCCTCGCTGGGGCCCACCAGGCTGTGGGTTGTTGGAAACATTACTCATTGAGAAAATGAATTTTGTAGTTACCCGAGGAGAATGAAAGAGGATTCTGCGCTCCATGATGATAGTGTGGGTATCAGACCAGGAATCCACTGCGATTTACTGGGCCCAGTGCGGTTTGCATTGCCCAGTGAGCAAAGTGTGGGGCAACCCAATTGTTAGGTCACAGAAAAATGACAACTGTTTTTTGAAAGACTGATGAAACCTGCCAATGGTACTTACTGAAAATACAGTTTTGAAAGCTATACTGTAGACTTGGTGTGGTAGGCAGAATATTGCGCCCTTTCCCAGAGATGTTCACATCCTAATCCCCAGAAACCATGAATATGCCATGTAACGGAGCAAGGGAGAATTAAGGCTGCTGATGGAACTAAAGTTGCTAATCAGCTGGTCTTAAAATGAGGAGATTATCCGCTATTATCCAGGTGGGTCCAATGTAATCACAAAGATCCTTAAGTGGGGAAGACCAAGACAGAAGAGTAAGAACCAGAAAGACTCAACCAGCCATTGCTGGTTTTGAAGACGGAAGGGGGCCACAAGCCAAGGAATACGTGCAGCCTCTAGACGCTGGAAAAGGCAAGGAAACAGTCTTCCCTAGAGCCTCCAGAAAGAACACAGCCCTGCCGACACATTGATTTTAGCCCAGTGAGACCCATGTTGGACTTCTGGCCTCCAGAACTGTAAAATAATAAATATGTGTTGTTTTAAGCCACTGAATTTGTGGTAATTTGTTACAGCAGCAATAGGAAACTAATATATTTGCTGATACTGTTGCATTTATTTTTGTATTTATGCTACTCTATTTTTCAAATGTGATTTTTAACTTATCATAAGATTACAAAGTTGCAACCTTTTACTACATAAAAACATACCATAAAGCTATAAGCCATGATAGCATCAGAGCAGAAATAGATGAATACATAAATACATAAAAATATATAACCTAGGTCAATTTTGAACAATATTCACTCTACATTCATTGACCAACTACTACACGCCAGGTGCTGTGCCTAGGTGGTGGAGCGACAAGGTGAGGGCAGCCCAATCTTGCCTGCAAGGTGTTCTTAGTGTGTTATAATAGAGCTGATCATGGGATTGGAGACGAAAGCAAGGAAAACTTGTGAAAGGAAAACCTGTGAGCAACGGCTTGTTAATCAAGTGCCAGCGTGCAAGGAAAGGGCATTCTAGAGAGAAGAGTCAGCACATTCAAGTACATAAACACAGTAAACAGACTACTGCATTTGAGGAAACTAGGGGATACGCAAGAGTCAGATGGTCACCTTGATGCCATACTTCAGCCCACAGGTAAAGCAGGGTCATTGAAGGGCTTTAGGCCAAGGAGTGACATCATCAGGACTACATTTTAGAAAGATTACTCAGATAAGATAAAATTTATAGAAGGGATAAAAGAATAGAGACTATTTAAGACACTTTTGCAACATGATAGTAAGAGCTTAGCTGGGGACCTGGGGGCAGAAATGAAGAGACTCAGCAGGACTTAATGGCTAACTGGATGAAGGAGTAGGAGACAGGTGTGGAGGCCTCCTCCAGATTTCTGGTGCAGATGATTAGGGAGCTGGTAACACCACTCCTCCAAGGTAAGGGAAGGCGAAGCAGATACAAACTTCTAAGTTTGTTTAAACTTAGTTCTCCCATGCCAAAAGTTTTGTTAAATAACTAAACTTCACACCATAATGAATAATTTTTATTATAAATAATCCCAACAAAATATTTACCTGTTCTTCATTGACTTTCAATGCCTGTATTTGGGTTTCCAGTGCTTTTATTTGTGCTTCAAGCTGTATCTCCCTCTCTTTTCCATTCTGAAAGAGTTTCTGTGATTCTCGAAGACTGAGGGCCAAACCATCCTTTTCATCTAGGGCATTAAAAATGTTTATATAAATAATATATGACTGTAGACGGGCCCAAACTGCCATGATCCCTATTAGGTTATCAGATCTATAGCATATATAAATGTTGTTGAATTAAATTTAATTTGGACAAATGACCTTTAGTTGACTTTGAAAAAGCTAGATAAAGAAATTATTCAAAATAGAATGCCGAATTGACGCCATACATTTGAGAGTATCAGACAGAGCCACATCCTTCAGAAATCTCACTGTGTCATCTTTAGGATCAAAGACTTCCCAATGAAGATTTCAGCACCTATTTAGTTGAGAAACTACACTGAACTGACAAGCCCCCACTAATCATGGTATTTGAGGATTAACTGCCTCTTCACATATTTGCGTACTGACTCCACCACACACAACATACATATTTGCAATAAACTCCACTTAAATTCACCTAATCTTAAATTCCTCCCACATATTTTGCTGTAACAATTTACAAGTTCTCCTCTCAAAGTAGCTTTATGAACATTACAGAAAGAGACCTTTTCACTATCAATCAAGTTTGAAATGAGCTAGAGTTCAGCCACAAAATTATTCTACAAATTAAAGTTCAACATTGACCAAAACTACAGAAAGCACAAAGAGTAAGCAATTACAATCTGGATCCGTATTTACTCTATGTACTTCTCCCAGATATGCCGCAATTTTCTCTTTGGCACACCTAAAGGAGTTGAGGGTCACTAGCTCTTACTTGGATTACAGCTTTATGCTAATTTGTAGGCCCAGAAAACGTCGCATTGCAAACTAAGCACATGCCTGTGGGAACTGGAATACTTTATCCAAAGTAAACTGTAATAGGAATCAACAACTTTTTAGAACAAAATGCCATCAGCAAACTTAATTAATGTTCAGAGTCTAACAGTCTCAGAGAGAAAAGGAGGGGGAGTAAGAAGGAGGGAAAGAAAAAAAAAAAGGAAGAAAATGAGGACCTCAAAATAGTATGTTCTGGAGAGAAGTAATCCAAGGCAAGGAGTCAGATGTCTTGGGTTTCTGTTCCGCTCTGTCTATGAGTCCTCTGACCAACTGCTTCAGTCCTCTAAGCTCCAGATTTAAAATGAGGTTGTTGGACAAGGTATCTAACTCTAGTGTACTTCAAAAATGACAGCGCCCAAGTTGTTATCTTACCTTTAATTATCAGAAGCTGATGATTCAGATATCTAATTTGACGTTCACTTTCGTTTAACTTTTCAGCTAAATTGTCTAGTTGTCTTTCTTTTGCTTTGTTAAGAACCTGAAGTTGAATAATCTGCATATTGTCTGCAGAATCTGCTTTGGAATTAAAAACAATTTATAATATTAAAGACATACCAAATATAAACTTGTTGTCATTGACAGCAGTGTTTTTCAAACTGTGGATACAACTGTTAGAGTATTATGAAATCAATGTAGTGGATAGTGATGAGCATTTCTTTAAAAAAACCAAGATTAGAACAGATCAGAGTGATTCACGTAGTAAGAATAAGTAGTCATACATACATACTTATAGAGATATATACTGTGTACTGCATCACAATGTAAAAACAGACTTCCTACTGTGGGCCACTGCCGCGGAAGTTTGAAAGTCACTCACTGCTTTAGTGTATAATCCTGAATCACTACCTTTTGGCCAATTAAAAGTAAGTACATACAACTGCAGTGGAATAAAGTAATATATTCTCATAAAAAAAAAGTACATGAGCTTCTAGAAGCCATTTTTAAAGAACCATTGAATAAATAAATGAATAAAGAACTCTGAAATCTTCTTTCAGAAACGATTAAAGTCATAAAGATCTCTTTAAAATGATTCAAGGGGAAAAAAATGAAAAAATGATTGGTGGTAGAAGAATAATACTTCAACTACACAATGATAAATATTCATTTCCCACTAGAACAATGCTTCTGTAAGTTTACAATCAGTAATGAACGTATTAACTGAGTTTTAACTACTTGCTAACAAAATAATCCAATCCCCTTTTTAAAAAGAGATGGGATAAAACACACACACAAAAAAACTGACAACTGAAAAATTTGTTAAAGTCCACAAACTCCTCTCCAAACCTTACAACACATAGGGCTGGCCCAGGAATGAACAGACTATAACCGCAAACTCTCTTCAAACCCATTTTTTTAAACTGCTGTTACTAAGAAGCTGTAATCACTAAATTTGACACTGCCATTAATTTAACTACCTTCCAAATGTCAAATTTAGGCAAATGTTAAACCAACTTAAACAAAAAATAAACCAAACTGAAAGATGCAGATTGTTAAGGAAAGTAATGGAAGGTCACATACGCACAAAGACCGGGAGCTGTAAATGAGAATTGAGTACAGGGTAACTGAGAGAGTAAACACGCAGGAGAAGGTGTTGGGCCACTGTTGTTACACTTACTTACTCAACCCAAAGCCAGCTACGCCACACGCACTGTCCATGTCCTCATTTCCTCATTCCACAAAACTTATGCACAAAGAGGGCAACCCCATATTTGCTATGGATTCCTCTTGGGGGTAGGTGAGTTCTGGGTCTCCCCTATACCTACTCTGTGGGCGTGGCGCCCGCGGAGGCCCTGTGGGCGGGGCGCATGCGGAGGCAGTGCTGTGAAGTTACTCCACGGCCGTCCAGTTTTCTCTGGGGCCTGGCCCAGATGACCCAGACATCCGGTATGACTCTCTCCCCCTTCTTACCCTAGAATCATACTGGCTCGTCAACATGCACAACAAATAGAAGTTATTTCATTTGCCAGGGTGTACGACAGTAAAAGTCAGACATAAGAAATCAGGTTAGTTAGTTAGTTAGTTAGTTCAGGTTAGTCGGAGTACACGTTTGGGTTTATTTTTTGTTTTTTAACACTAGCACATTATCTCAAAATCCTCTAGTCACCTATGAGCACTTTTTTATTCTATTTACACTTCTACTAAAAAAAAAAAAAAAATTTTTGGCAAGTGTCACACAACTAAACTTGAGATCTAAGCCTAGTTTAAATTCTGAATATAAAGTAATTTATTTTCGAGCTGCCTAATACACTAAAACTCTAAAAAGAAAATAAAAAATTAAGGTGTTAATGGCTGATTTACTAAATTACACTGGTATATAATAAAAAGTCTGAGATTGAAGGGGAAACTAGATTTCATTTTCCAAAGTAGATTTCAGTAAGAAAAACTTGAAGTGAACGAAAAGTTTTAATAAACTAGAATGTCTGAAATATAGTTAAGAAAAATTTCTTTTAACTTTGTATTATGGAAAATTTTAAACACATGAAAAAAGAGAAAAGAGTACAATGACTCCTCATGAAACCATCATCCAGCTTCAACAATGATGAACTCTTGGCCAGTCTTGCTTCATCTATGCCCCCACCCAACATTTCCCACAACAACATATTATTTTGAAGTAAATCCTAGACTTCATATCAGCTTATTTGTAAATAGCATAAATCTCTAAAAAATAAGGGCTTTTAAAAACATCAACCACAAAAACATTATCATAGCTAAAAATAATAACTCTTGAATATGCTCAAATATTCACTCAGTTTTCAACATTCCCCAATTATGTTTTTAAGAAATAAATATAAACTTGATACATACTTTCATTAGCTTCTAAAAACTGCTGTTGCAGCCCTTCAAATGAGTCTCTTCCTGCTATCTCCTGGGCGGGTGAGCCATTATTCTGGGCAGAAGATTGATAGGGTTTATATGTCACTTTACAAGGTTCCAAAGCTTGACAACTAGGACTCTGTGATGTACCAAATTGCTGTTACAAGATGACAGATAAAACTGGCAATTAGGACTTGGCCTTTCTTCAAAAATTAACTGAATTAGACATCTTAATTTTATGTTACAGAACCTAACTGGGTATAATTACAAAATTTTATACATCTTTTGCTTAAAAATAGCACTGATTGTTATTTAACATTGATAATTGAAAATCTGTGATATGCACCTTACGTGCATCGTAATTGTACTTTTATCTGAGCACATGATGAGGCCAGGTTCCCAAATAAATGAAAGAATTCCAGAAAGACCAAACATAAATACCTTACTACGAATATCTAGATGATACCACCATCTTGGGACCGTGAGAATGCACACTCTGGTGGAATAATTTGGAAAAGGACAGTGGTGATGGCTGCACCCTATGGAGCACAGTCCTACTCAGACACACATACCGTCAACAGGAGTCAGGAGGCAACCTGATGGAAACTGGTTCTGGTTTTTTTAATGGTTGCCCAACATGCTGAACATAATCAATGTCGCTGAAGTATATATGTGAAAGTGGTTGAATTGGCAAATGTTTTGTTATCTGTATTATATTTTTAAAAAAGAATGCACGTGCAGAATAACAAGATCATGTGATGTAATGCTTCACATGTAAAAAATGTTCAAAAACTTTTGTGGAATGAATAACACTCTATAGTAATGGGATTAAGAGAAAATGGTTCTTAAAAAGACCCCAAAAAAATTCTGTCCCTAGGTGACACAGAATAAGCATTGGCAAAATGAGGCTCTCAGTTGTTAGTGAGAAATTCTAAGCAGCAGATAACTGTATCCTAAGGTCTTACATCATTAAACTCTCCCAGGGCAAAAAAAAGGTGTTTGATGTTCCCTTCAAACAACTTCACTCTCTCTACCGGTCTATCACCATACAAAACAGACATCAGCTGTTTGACCTAAAATTGAAGTGTTTTACCAAAAATTTATTGTAAGTGGGGAGCAAAAAAACCAAGGAAATTAAATGCTGTCATCGACATAGACTTACCACTTTTAAACTATATTTAGGTATCAGAACATAACTTCTCACTGAAGCATAGTGAAGTAGCAGAAACCAGAGGCAGCAGTAAATGAGGGTCATTACTCTTTGCTAGACTTAAAATAAATTTTAGGGTTTGATTAACTGTTTCCATAAAGCCTCTATCTGAAACTGATTTAAGATCATGATTACATTAGATTTTAAACAGAAAACAGCACGATTAATCTAGCATGAGCCTAAATAAATGCACTCTCAGAAATTCTTGTAGTTAAACTAAATGTTACCGTTGCACTTACGCATATTTCATATACACACGCACATTCACATTAGTGCACACACATACACAAATTCTTAAAAGTTAAATTCTTACAATACCTGAAAATGGTTCCTTTGAGGATCTGAAAAATGAATTATGCTGGCTGGTTGGTTATTAAATTCCTGCTTCTGACCATTTGTATATGGCCTAAAGTTTTCAGGAAGGTGATATAAATCAGCCTGCTCATATCTACTTGGAGGACTATAACCACTTCTAACTTCATCTCCAACCTCTTCAGGATGGTACCTAGGATGTCGATCTTCAGTTTTACTTCGATTCTCTTCCCAACCACTGCCGCACTTCTCTCCAACATATAAATCCCGTACCTCGTTATAGTCCTGTTAGATAATAAGAGTAAAACAAAAGCACTGAGATCTATCCCCACCCTCCTCAAAGTCAGTATCACACCAGATACTTACACCTTGAGATTTAGGCAGCACTTGATGCTCATTCCACTTCATCTCCGATTCCTGAGAAGGATGTGCTCTTGAGAAAAACCAACATGCTAAATTTAGAGCCTATCATTTGTGTGGGCAGAGGTAGCACAGAGAATCCCAAGATTTTAACATGGTTTCCCTCCAACCTTTACCCCAAATTGTAATCACTTGTCTACAATTTTCTAATCACGTACATGATTATTAGCTGCAGAGAACCAAAAGAAAGGGACTTATAGAATTACAACATGCAGGTGAAAGTGACTGGAGGGTCTTACTGTCCCTCTGTGCCATCCTCGCTGCAGTCGGAAGAGTGGAGCTCAGGGGAGGAGAGGTCATCATCCAGCATGTCATGAGGAAGGTCTGTGAGTAACTGCTGCAGCTGAGACAGGAAAGTTTGCATCAGTATCACACTGCCTTTGATACAAGGTACCAAACCAAAGCTGCCTTGGGACCAATGATTTTTTTAAAGCTTTAACTGCAGAAGTCGAAGAAGTTTCTAATTTCTCCATTTAATAAATATGTTAAATTCCACATGAATTATGTTCATCATTTCACTTGCAGGGAGAAGATACACAATATCAGGACTTATGTTAAAAGATCTTAGTTTTTCCTACAGAGCTATTGGATTTAAATATGCATATGCCCATTGCTAACGAGTCGATTCGGACTCATAGTGACCCTATAGAACAGAGTAGAACTCCCCCATAGGGTTTACATGGCTATAATCATTATGGGAGCAGACTGTCACATCTTTCTCCCACTGAGTGGATGGTGGATTTGAATCACCAACCTTTTTGTTAGCAGCCGAGTGCTTAACCACTGCACCACCAGGGCTCCTAGGAACATGCATATGGCGTGGCGTAGCTGAAAAAACTTCTTTATAGAAACATAGTAAGTCACAATGATGGTTCAATCATTGTATTATGCTGTCACAAGGCAGACTTGAGTCTCAGAATCCTGTTTTCCCAGTAATCAGAACTCGGGCACTCAACAATCAGACATCCCCCAGGGAATCCCAGTAGCCAGATGCACGTTGCCCAGGTAGTGAGGACAGCAGCAGCAGCAACAGGTGGCCTAGACGCCCTTAAAAGCTCTGATAACATGATATATCCCTGAGGAGTGACTAGCTAGTGGAGAGGCATCTAATTCCAATGATGAAAAGATATACAACACTCTGCTCTTGTAAAACATTTGAATAAAAGGGGAGTTGGAAGATTCCGTTTTCTACAGATAGCACTCTCGAAAGCACAACTATAAAACTGACAAAAAAGCATTTGACTTTGCTGTCCAATTTTTTTCTACAGAAATAGAATAATGACATTTTGAGCATTCTGCCTATATAAATTAGTCTGAGTGACAGAATAAATTCACTGAAGTTTCAGGAAAAGTAAATGATAAAGAGATGAATAATCATCTAATTTTTTAATTTCAGTATTTATATACAAATGTCTTTCTTCAAATCCCAATATAAAATGTGTTAAAACTTGTAACATAATCAGCTGATTCAAATACTATTACTTAATAGTTAGTAGGAGACAGTTCCTAATGGCTTCTCTTTAAGAAATTAAGCACTAGTTTAATAAACAAGGTGACTGAGTCCCTCCAAAGTACATAAATCAGTCCCATAAAATTATGCAATGAGTGAATTTTGAAGACATTGAATACTCTGTAAAACCTTGGATTAAAAAATGAGGTGCTCCTTGGTCTGTGGCAGTTTTTTGTTTTGTTTTTACTTTCTCTGTCATTTATATAAAAGAAATGCAATGTAGCTACAAAACATATCTGAGTATTATCTTTATAATCACAAAAACTTTCCAAAACACATATAATAAAAGTTAAATAAAAATATTCTAAGACAGTGGTGATGGTTGCACATCATGTTGAATGTAATTAATGTCACTGAATCGTACACTTTAAAATGGCGACTTTTTTGTTCTATATATTTTATCAAAACAAAATTTAAAATATATATATATTCTAAGAGAGGTCTGAAAAGAATGCCCCATAAAATTTGGGAATGAGGAGGGGATATATTTCTGACATTCAGTAAATGATCCTTTTTTTTTTGTGGTTCTCTAAAGATGAAACGAGAAAAATATTCTTCGCAATGAAGTTATCTTGACCTCTAAATCCATTTAATACGAACAACCAAGACTTTGATTTATTGCCCATCTGCATGTGCAGAACAGTTGAAAAGTCATTTTGAGAATTATATGTATCAGTTGATTCAAGATATAAAGAACAAGAAATATAAAAGAAACAATGAAAATAAAACAGAACACAACGACCTATTATTATACCATGTGCTTCAGGTGAAAGCTAGCAAAGTGACGCCACAAAGACACAAAATTCACTAGGAAAAAAAATTCACATCTATGATGTCTTCTAAAGTAGTCTAACCAGTTTCATCTATAATTATGTATCACTGCTCTAAGGAAAAAGACTACCCCCTCAGGTTACACAAAGAAAAGTAACAACAAAATCTTTCATACTTACATCAAGTAAGGACGCCAATATGAAAAGAATATTTTCTTCTAAACCTTTGGTGAGGTTCAAGTACATAGCCTTATAATTCAAGGCAACCTTGACAGAGACATCTGAACAATCCATTTTTCCCCTCACGAGGACAGAAAGCTGCATGTTGTTAAGCAATTATTGTATTATACCTTTGTTGCACCACAACAGTAACAAAATTGCCATTCCATGGAGGAAAATTAATTTGAGCATAAACAATCAGCTAATAAAAATGCTTGTGGATCTGTATGTAAACTTATCAGCTAGCAAAATCATGTCTGTAATATTTAGAGTTTTATAAGGCATTTTACATACATTCTAACATTAAACAGTGTCATTCACCTCAAAAAAATTCTCCATCAAGTTCTTTAGCATAGCTGAGTTATAGTCTTTGGCTTCTATAACTTTCAGGGCAGATAGAAGCCAAATGAGGTGAAGTCCTCCTAATAAGGCCATTCAGGAATGAAACCCACCCCCAGGGCTTCCATTTCGGAGGATCACAGTATGTCCTCCTCATACACAGTCAAAGAGATTTTGCTTTTGGTCATCGAACCATGTGCCATAAAACACAAAATTACCCTATCAACTTATACACGTTGTCAACAGAGAATTCCTATCAACTTATACATGTTGTCAACAGAGAATTTTAGAAACTACAAATTCTCCTCATTAAAGATCTGCCCAACTTCCAAATACAGATTCAAAGACAAAGACAATAATCTTTATAAAGATCAAAATGTAATCCCACTCATTAACTTTAAATTCATCAGAACTATTTTCTGGTTGCTAATAACCATCTTCTCAATAGGATATTACTGTACATCAATGGAGTTAAATAATTTGAGATACCTTCCCTAGATAAAGGTAATTTGCTCTTGTTAAGGCTTCTATTGAAATGCATTCTGAACCATTCTGTAAACTCAGCTCCCTTGTCTACTTCACATCATTTCTTCCCTCAAAAGAAAAAAAAAAAAAAAATAGGGCATTTTCTTCATGGAACTTATCAATAAAATATTTTTGCAATAACCCATGCAGAACACCCAAAAAGCTTATGTTCAAGGGTGAATGTAAAACAAAGAACACGTAAACCTTTTGTTAGGATTTCAACCTAAATTAACTAAACAGACTGTCTCCAGGTCTGATAATCCTCAATGTTCACAAAAGCAAGGGTTCTCAGATTACAAACTGCACAACAATACATCTTCTCCCAAGAGAAAAGCAGCAAATAGGAGTAGCCAACAGTCATACTCCTTTTGAATAGTTTATCTCATAAATACTTTGAAAAGATTGATAACTGAAAATACGAAGTATTAAATAATACTTTCATGGGTACATACCAAGCAGAGTCTATTTTAACCTGAGAACAGTTAAAAACATACTTGAAAAGGCCTGATACGGGATTGATGAAAGGCCCAAAATAACTTGGTAGCTAGAGCTTTGGTTTATGAATTATGCCATGTTCAGAATGATAAATAAGTAAATAAAATCCATTTCATTAGACAGTGTTATCTTTGTGGAAGACACTGTCTAGGCTACCACATATCTTTAAAAAAAAGAAAAAGAAGACGGCAGTTTATTAGACTAATATCAGCTGAACTATAGATGCTACATAATAGAATTTTAGGTCTGGGAAGAACTCTAGAGCTCCTCCAATCGAAGCCTCTCCTTTCAAAGGTGAGCAAACAAAGGCCCAGAGAAGGCAAGGGGCATGCCCCTGAAGAGTGAACGCAGCCCTAGAGCTGGCATTAGAACCTGAACCTCTCTGCTCCTACTCTTTTCTTCCACATGACACTGTCAGTCACTGGAAGACACGTATTTCTACTGTTTGCACACAATCAAGCTTCAGTTTCACCACTGTTCAATGCTTTTGTTCCAGTTGTGACAGTCCCTGGAAAATACCTGTATATTATAGGAAAATTTACAAGGCACAATCCAGAGAATGCATAAGAAACTGTTAAAAAAGAACATCAAAAGTATATATATAGCATGAATACTCAGCCACTTGTTTCTTTGATTTTCTTGGGGTATGACAAGAAATTTCCATTAAGTAAGTCAAATAA